AGAAGAAGAAGAAGGATATGAAAGCTCTATATGAAAATGTAGTTTCAATATTTGAGACAAAGTAATTTCAAGGAAAAGAGAGAAAGTGCCCAAAGTGAAGTTCCAAGGAAACCATTCCAATTATATATTTTTTCTTATTCATGGTACGTGCTAATAGTTAACACATCATTTATTAGTCTCTTACTGAAATCTAACATTGTAATGCTTTGGCAACGTGATTCATGCCTTGTTAACTTAATGTCCTGCTACATTATATACACCATCACAGAAACCATATGCTATATACTAAGTAGGACAAATGCTACTTAGGTCCTATTTTAGGCTGTATATAGTTAAGTTTAGGGGCGTAATTTAAATCCCACTAATTCTAAGTATGAAATACCTAACAGTTTTATTTGAATGAAAATTAAATCTCATCTAGAGAATCATGGAGAGGTGAAAAACCTAGTAATAACTACATTGAGTGAAACAAGAAACCATTCATGTATTTGTTGCAGGCAGTTGACGGCACCAATATTTTCATTATCAAGTATTTGACATTTACAGGTATACTTGATAGTCATATGCTCTGCTAATATATTTTAGACATAGAAATATGATAATAATAATTATTACTGGCCATAAAAGATGACACTGCTACTCATAATTCTTAAATTATTTGGGTTCAATCAAATCACCCCACTGAATAAATAGCTTCTCCTTAGGAAATAAAAATTAGTTAGACTCTGAGGGTTTTAAACAAAATCTACATATTTTAAATGTTATTCTATTACCAGAAGATGTCAGTCAGTTATGCTGACTTCCAGTGTTCTCACTTCTTCATGCACCCTTTCCTAATTCCACCAATATTGCCACCTAGTAATTGCTAATAAGAGGCCATTGCTGAGAGTCAAGGTAACGATTCTTCCTGCACTGAGATACTGGAATGGTGTTACAGCTGTGAAATTATTTTCCATCTTAAAATGTTCTTACAAGAAATGCAAATGGTTGGATCTTCATCATATCCTAATGCTTATTTATTAATTTTAAATTCATAGTGTGATATGAATTTAAATAGTTAAATAGTTTAGTAATCTGAGTTAAATAGTTTAGTAATCTGAGTCTTGAGGAGTACCAGCTGAGCCTGTCAAATTTACTGTGCATAAAAATATCATAAAATATAACATTTAGTAAAACAATTCATGACTTTGATAACTTTCTTCCATTCCTAAGTTTTTCCCAAATGGAAGTATGGTTGTGTGAGTGTAGAGGCTTCAGTGCTTTCTGAGGAAATTTTTAAATATCCCCTAAATGAGTACATGAGATTATAAAAGAAATAAAAGCTATCTCTATTTTCCAAACATCACTAAAAATCAATTGTTTGGGATTTAGGATCAGAGGTCAACCTTCAAAAGGTAGTTTGTCTCAGAACTATGACTGAACTTCATGCATTTGAAATGAAAATGGTATGAAAGTGAGAAAATTAAACTGAAAACAATAACAGTAAAGACTTCTGAAATTTAAAATCTCTGAGGTCATGTGGTGGTGGCCACGTTTCCCAAACCCACTTCTCTTCAACACAGAACAAAAGACTCACTGTGTCCCATCCTTCACAAGACCACTCTGGCTCAGACAGAAAGCAGAAACTTCTGTCTTCTTGTATTTGTTGAACTGTGAATGCCTTAGAAAGTTAATAATCCCAGTACCCAAACGGTGCTTTTAATCCACTGATTAAAGAAAAAATGTTTACAGAGCCACCTGTTATGCATCAAGTGTGCTGTGAGGTGAAGGATACAAAAGTAACCATGAATCACCTAGTCCATGACCTCAGGTTGCTCAGAGAGTTACTGTCTGGTGATTCTATGAAGCACAAGGCTCTGGACCTTCGGTGATCCTTTAGCGTCCCTTGGCTCAGCTTCAACACCTACAAGTGAACCTGGGCTTACCTGCTCTTCACTAATTCAGCCAGATGTAAAACGGTGAATGTATGCGAAACGCTCTGGAAGTTACAGCTGCTCTATGGTCACACAGTATACTGATCTGCAATAAACATCACTGCAGTCCAAGTAAAATATGCCAGGTATTCTCTACTTTTTAAGCATTTTGCCTTCTGAGCACCAAGCAAACAATAGTTGCTGAATAAAATACTAAATGAATGAAGAAAAACTAGCTTTTTTTGATAGCACAAAATCATCATTAAAAACACTTAAAAATAAATAAATAAACATAACACTTTCAAGCAGTATGAAAATGTCCATTTTAAAGGCAAATATAATTTTGTAATTTAAATAACCATGCCTTTATTCGTTTATTTAAAATTTAATTTTTCACATATGATCTTTCTCTAAGCAGAATATACATTTACATGATTTTCTGTCTCCTCAGTGTAGATCATTTCCATGTGAGGCTGTTTATCAGTGGTTAAAAAAATAAATAAGATATATTTATAATGTACAAAGCTTTGTACAATTCCAGCACAGTTTTCCTTACTTCATTTTCTTTTTACTAAACTGACACAAAATGAAACAATTTGGATAGCCTTGTCTCATTTTTAACAAACTATGCTCCAAGACCTTCTACCATGCGTTCTGTTTCTGGGGCCACGCATGGAAATGGAAACACTCTCAAAAAATCCTCCCAACAAAAATTTTCTTCCTTAGGAAATTTTCAATGAAAGCAGTTTGGAAGTAGAATAAAGCCTATGTGAGAACACAAAATTTTAAAAAATAATAAGAGGGTGAGGGAAAATAAACAAAATCCTTCAAAGAACCATTACTTTAATCCACACCTATATAAATAAAATAGAGATTTAACTGGCTTTCCATCTTTAAGAAGACTGGAAAAAGAAAAAAAAGAGGACACTATGAACGCATCTACAAAACAGAATGAGACTCGCAGACGTAGTAAGCAATCTTATGGTTACGGGGGGAAGGGGTTGGAGGGGGTGGGAAGGGGTGGGGAGTTTGAGATTTGCAAATGTTAGCCACTATATGTAAAAACAGATTAAAAAAAACAAGTTTCTTCTGTGTAGCACAGGGAACTATGTTAAATACCTTGTAATAACCTTTAATGAAAAAAATATATGTGTGTGTATGCATGACTGGGACACTGTGCTGAACACCAGAAACTGACACATTGTAACTGACTGTACTTCAGTAAGAAATAATTAATTAATTTTTTAAAAAAGAAGAAGAAGACTGGGCAATGCTTTCATCACACAAGTTTAGTGCTAAACCTCATTTTTAAGCAGTCTGCGAGGGCCACGCTACAGAATCCCACTGAATACAAAGTGGATGTAATGAGATACATTCTTGTGATAAGCTCCCTTGAGGAGGTCCCAGACTGCACAGGCAGAATTAAAGGTTCCTTCTAATACCCTTCCACTGCAAACCGCTCACATCCTTTCTACCGCTGGTGCATTCTGCAGTGTGGCTACCTCTGTGGCCGTCCCAACCACTAGCGGATGTGGACGAGCCCAGGTGGGCATCCCATTCAGGCTCTTCGCTGTCAGCCTCATCAACAGTCTCCACCCTTCCACAGGGTCACTGTCAAAATCATCTCCTTATAAGGACAAGTTGCTCCTTCAGCATAACTGAACATTATTTCAGTTACGCATTACTATCCTTAATAATCATTTAACTCTTAAGCATATGTATTAAGCAGTTTAAAGTATTATTTGGTTAATTAATATAGAAAACAGATTTGGAAGCTGTAGAATGCCATCCAAATATTAACAAAAATCTAAAAGTTATCTATTGCTGCAACACTAAACAGTATGCAAATTTTTTTCATTTTCTAAGAACTATACTCAATTTCACATCTCACAGATATCATACATTCTTGCACTAAATTGCTGAAATTTCCATCTTTATATAATATTCCTTAAGAACAACTCAGTTAAACTTTTGAAAGTGTCAAACATCTCAAACTGTTTTCCAATGTGTAAGCTTGGTAATAGATGAAATATGCCACGTCAGATTTTGTTCTCAATATTACTGCCATGATTGTCTTGAACAGAATATGCCTCTCTGACTTATGGGCAGTTCTCTCCCTCTCTCACTCTCTCTAAATCCACATGTACATGCATACACATTTCACACACACCCATACACAGGCACCTTAAAGACAATTTTGTTTCAATACCAAAAGCTCTCTTTTTAAAAAATTTACCTCTTTTTATTATAAAAATTACATAAGATAATTGCAGAAACTCTCAAATGTAGAGTGAGGAAGATCTGCTTCAAGCAGCAGACTGGTGGCACAGCTCCACCAGCATAACATTTTACTGATGGTCATTTTTCAATTTTAAATGTAGCATTTTTATTATACTGAATAAACTTCCAGAAACATAGTGTATATATTTGTGTTTTTAATATAAAAGTTCTTCATATAGTTAAAATCACATATAAATTCTAATTTCTACTGTAAAAGCACATTCATAGAAATGAGAAGTCATATTTGGCCAACTATAAATTCATTTAAAGCCAAATCCAATATATTAACATAGATTCAACTTGAGGAGAAATTTATTTGACTTCACATTCATTTTGAGTCCACTTTTGTTTCATAATTATAACTGTATCTTAAGTTTGAGTGTAAATGAAATGTTTCATGCAAGTCAAGAGTTCTCTTCCTACTGTTAACATGTAAAAATTGTTTGAAAAATTCATTTTGCAAAATATAATATAAACAATATTTGAAATATATAAAGAATATTTTATAATCATTAATAATAATCATAAAATAAAATAAAGTCTGATACTGATTTCTGCATTTTTAAACGTGGTCATGAGTAAATAAATTTTCAAGAATTCTTTGCCAAGGTTTTTTAGTTAAGGATCAGTCTTTTGTATTTATTTATCCTCCATCTAATTTATTTTATCTTTTTAAACAGACTAAAACTCTTACAGAATTAAAGTACTAATATTTTCTTTATTTTACTTTCTAGCATGTATTAAATATTTGTTTTTTGTTGCTATAAACTAGAAAATCATCCACACTCGATCTCAATGAGATCTTACCTTCTGGTTTGTTGTTTTTCCTCTTCAGCCATTTTTCTACAGTCTCTGCACTAACACTTTCAGATACAAATTCATCTAATACCTGGGGGTGAAGAGAAAGATATGCCTTCACTTTTTCATCCGTCAGACCTGTAAAAGAATTGAAAAGAATAGAATTAACCAATATGACATCTTCATTCACATCAAAGATATAAAAAAACTGACACATTATACAGACTGATTTAACATAATTTTTTTAAAAAAGATTTATATACATATAGTGGAATATTACTGATCCATGAGAAGGAACGAAGTTCTAGCATACAAGAACCTTAAGAATATGGTCAATAAAATAAGCTAAACATTAACGGCAAAAGTTATATGATTCTGCTTATATGAAATACCTAGAACAGGTAAGTTCAGAGAGACAGATTAGATTAGGGGCTTCCAGGAGCTGAGGGAGAGGAGAACGAGGAATTATCTGTTTAGTGCATACAGTTTCTGTTTCGGGTAAAGGCAAAGTTCTGGAAGTAGGTGAGGTGATGGTTGCACACAATGAGTATAAATAATGACACTGGTTATACACTTGATATGATTAAAATGGCAAATTTTATGTTATTTATATTTTACACTATGAAAAAGTAGTAAAACAAAAAATAAAGTTTGAACTTTAGCAATTTAAACCAAAGCCATTACATCATGTTACAAAGTTGTTTCCAACAACACATTTTAGTGTTATATTTGAACTGATGCTTGATTCCAGTGTTGTGCAATGAAGCCTTACAAAGTATTTATATTTTTTGGTAAGTAATTATCATAGATTTAATACGTAAGGTAAGTGAAACTCAGGCAATAGTACCAAACAGGAGAATTAAGCCCTGGTGCATTTTAGGTGCTAATAAAACATGTGTAACAAGTTCTTATCTTTTACTGTTTACAACACAGATTATCCTTTTTCTCAGGGCCACCAAATCCAATGATATAATTAGTGTTCAGTTCAAAATAATCTAAACATTTTGTACTGATGCTCTATATACGTAGTCAGTTTCACTGAAATAACTTCCATAGTCGGATAACAACTGTTGAATATACACAGAATTTTCAAACAAAAAATTTTACATATTTTCAAGTAGAAAATATGAAATCATATGTGTTCAAATTGCTGCTTCATGTTGGTATGCCATTCCATGAAACATCCCCAAACCACAGTCTGGCTATCAATACTTATTACTCAGTGACTGTAATTATTTGCACTATTGTATCCTCTCTGTCAATTACTCAATAAATTACCATCCTTAGGGACCGTTAGATGAAAAGGCAATGCAAAGTTGTACTCTTAGACACAGAAAAGAAAAAGCAGGCACACGAAACAATCTGGACAGGCTCGTCTCATTTTCAACGAACTGCTCCAAGGCCTTCTACCAGGCTTCTGCCAGAGCAAGTGCATCTCTGCGGCTCCACGGAGCAGGCGGCATGTTCTCACCACCAGACAAGGCACAGATTTTACACACGTTAGTTAATTCTGCTGGATACTGAAATCACAGCTGTATGATTCCACAGCTGGTATTACTGAGAAGGCAAGTGATTTCTTTCAATAAATTCAGTATTTAAATAGTTAATTTAAACTATACAGATACATATGTATAATACATAATTACATAGTTGTATCAAATAAAAGAAAAACAAGGCCCTGCCCGTGTTCACCCTGCAGAAGAGCCTCAATGACATAAAATTCAATTTGAGAAGTTCTACAAGTTGCTAAAAACAAGAGACTTACTCAAGTAAGAGAGAGCTCTCTTGACAAAGCAAGTTACCATCCCCAGATACAAAAGGCATAAGATATAGGAATAAGCTGACAGCTAATTTGACCTCAAGAAGACAAAATAAATGTCATACTTTATGTCCTTCATAGTGGTACATATTCAACATCTGATTCCTTCTTAAAACACAATGACATAATGCAGCTCCTATCCTAACTTCCCATTCGCTCTTTACTTCTGCTTTTTTCTTCAATAATGTATGATAACAAAATCTGAGTCAGGAATATTAGTATACTTTTTATCTCTAGTCTTTGGAAATTCTTCCATCACCTCAAGCTCCATCTTGACTCAAAACCAAATAAGTCATCTCCTTCCTACTTATTCCCAAAGTGATTTTAGCTCTCAACTTTCTTTTTCTGTTACTATTACTTCTCCATTTCCCCCAAAATCCAGGCTGAAAACAAAGTCATAATTGATTCACTGTTACTTCACTTCATCTTAGTGCATATTACACAAGTCCTATTTGCCAAATTACATATTAGCTAAAGGAACTGTATCTAAAACATACAAAGAAAATAATGCCATTTGCAGCAACATGGATGGACCTACAGATCGTCATTCTAAGTGAGCCAGAAAGAGGAAAAATACCGTATGGTATCATTCATATGTGGAATCTTTAAAAAAAAAAAAAAGAAATGAAAAGAAAAAGAAGGACACTATGGACTCATCTACAAAACAGAAACAGACCCACAGACATAGTGAACAATCTTATGGTTACTGGGGAAAGAGGATGGGAAGGGATAAATTTGGGAGTTTGAGATTTACAAATGTTAGCCACTATATATAAAAATAAGTTTAAAAAAAGTTTCTTCTGTAGAGCACAGGGAACTATGTTCAATATCTTGTAATAACCTTTAATGAAAAAGAATATGAAAACAAATATATGCATGTGTACGTATGACTAGGACATTGTACTGTACACCAGAAATTGACACATTATAACTGACCGTACTTCAATAAAATAAATAAAATAAAATAAAATATACAAAGAATGCTTAAAACTCAACAAGAAAAAAACCCAATTAAAAATGAGTTGACAAGATCAGACAGCAGCCAAGATGGCAGAGCAAAAAGACCCTGAGCCCACCTTCTCTCACAAGCACGCCAAAATCACAACTCTCTGCATAACAATCATCAATGAAAGACTGGCACCTACCAGAGACATAAAGAAGGAACTACAGTGAGACCAGTAAGAGGGCTGACTCGCGATGTAATCAAATCCCACATTCCCCAGCGCCCGGGGCGGGGGTTGACCCACAAAAAATTACATTGCACAGATTCTCCCACAGAAATGAGTTCTGAGCCCCAGGTAAGGTGAGTCCTGCGTGATCCCCCTGGGAGAGGATTCTTGAAAGCTTGTGCCAGATCTTCCTAGTCTTCACCTGGTGCCCCTTCCCACTTTGCTGACTTGACATTGCATCCTCTTTTGTGATAAGAGATCTTAACCATGAGCGTGACTACACGCTGTGTCCCGGAGTCCTCCTAGCAAATCACCGAACTTAGTAGTCTTGGGAATCCTCAACACAGCGACCGTCTTTGTTAAGTGAATTAATCATTGAGTCATTATTTGCCCTATGTGATTTCGCAGATGTAGAGATGTAGCGCTGCAAACTGTTCCCGGTCCTTAAAGATCAGAGATGCACCCAAGTCGGAAAGCAAGTGTCCAAGCAAGGGACCCCACCTTTCCATTCCCCACGGCTCCTCCTCAAAGTATCCGCCCTGAGACCAGATGAGATTCATTTCTTTGTTATATTACGTTCATGTCTCTTTTTCCATCCGAAGAGTTTGAATGTCTATATTCAGTTTCTGAAAAATGACAATTTCTTTACTATTTGAATATGTTTTTCTAATTCTGACATCCTTCAATCCACGTATAATATAGCTCCAATTCTGGAACTAGATTCCTGTGTATACAATAATATGAAAGTCTTTATGTCAAAGTTCTTCCCCACAATGTGCTGGTGTACAAGAGTTTGTAAGTATAAGGATTTATTTAGCAGTTCCTCTTAGCCACTTATCAAATAAGGGAAGCAATTAATGGGCTCTACCGTTAATTTCCTTTTTGGCTTCTGTATTTAAAAAGGCAAAGTCCTTTATATGCAATGAATAGAGGTTATCATGTGAGAGAGGTAAATGATTTTCAAAATCATTAAAATGGCTCCAAAGTTACAAAACAAAAATGAATACATGAGATGCTTTTTTGGATTATGTCAAACCCCACAGCCAATGACACCATTCTTTTTAACCAAGGAGGACAAACAGGGAATAAAGTAAAAACAAATGCCATATCATTTTTTCACAGAAATTTCTAAAAAGTCTTAAAATTTGTTCAGCCCCACAAAAGATCCCAACAAGCCAAAGAAATACTGAGAAAGAACAACAAAGCTGAAGACATCACAACTCCCAATATCAAACTTTATAACAAAGTTACAGTAATCAAGACAGCATGGTACTCGCACAAAAACAGACACACAGAATCAATGGAGCAGAACTGAGAGCCCAGAAATAAACTCTCAAATATACAGTCAACCAACATTTGACAAAGGAGTCTAGAAGACTCAATGGGGAATAGATCGTCTCTTCGATAAACAGTGTTGGGAAAACTGGATGACCCCGTGCAGAAGGACGGACGTGGACCCCTACCTTAGACCACTCACATAAATCAACCCAAAACGGATTAAAGCCTTAAACATAAAGACTGAAACCATCAAACTTCTAGAAGAACACATACGGAAAAGGCTCCTCGACACTGGTATTGGCAAAGATGTTCTGGCTGTGACACCAAAAGCACAAGCAACCAAAAGTAAACAAGTGGGACTACATCTAACTAAAAAGCCTCTGCACAGCAGAAACAATCAGCAAAACAAAAGGCAATCTATAGAACTGGAGAGAATATGTGCAAACTATCTACCTGCTAAATGGCTAATATCCAAAATATGTAACGATTCACACAACTCAATAGCAAAAATAAATAAATCAATCCAAATAAAAATGAGCAAAGGACTTCAAGAGACATTTTTTCAAAGACATACAAACGGGTCAATAGATGAGGGCATAAAGGTACTAAACATCACTAATCATCAGGGAAATACAAGTCAAATAGCAGCGAGGTCACCTCACACCTGTTAGCATGTTGTCAAAAGGACAAGAGATAATAAGCGTTAGCAAGAATATGGAGAAAAGGGAACCCTTGTGCACTGCTGGTAGGAATGTAAACTGGTGCAGCCACTATGGAAAACAGTATGAAAGTTCCTCAAAAAATTAAAAATAGAACGTGTGATCCAGCAATTCCATTCTGGATATATATATGAAGGAAATAAAATCACTGTC